ACCGTATTTTTGCAACATTCCCATTATGTTGCTAAAACGTATTTTTGCAACATTCCCATTATGTTGCTAAAACGTATTTTTGCAACATTCCCATTATGTTGCTAAAACGTATTTTTGCAACATTCCCATTATGTTGCTAAAACGTATTTTTGCAACATTCCCATTACGTTGCTAAAACACATTGCAGACACATTGCCAATTACGTTCATGCAAGCTGACAAAATTACACGTTGTGGCAACGTTACTGCGTTACTACAACGTTGCCCGAATACGTAAATGGCGAAATTGCGACGTTTTGGCAACGTTGCCACAACGTAATTTTGCCGGGCGGGCAACGACATGCCTCTGTGGCAGCAAAAACCTATTTTTCTTCCGTCCATTTCTAATAGGACATGCCACACCTTCTGGTGTTAAAAAAAAAAAAAAAAAAGTCTTAAATTTATGAAAAAATAAGAACCAGTTTAAAAAATAAAAACATTCAAATATATTCATTTCTACGAGAAAACTTAAATTAAAATCAAGATGATTCAAAATGCAGATAGGTAGTCTGAGCTAAATACTCGCTATAGTCAGAGGGCACTTAATTCTACATCAATCTTAGTAATGTACAGTTTCAAGAGATGAGAGATGAGCACAACGAAATTAATATACACAATGCATGTCATCAAATTGTATCGTCTCGGCATGTTTTCCGAAATGTAAAATAAAAAAAAGGTTTGCTTTCATAGGCTCATTTCCTTGGGGGCAATGCCTTTCATTTTAATGCGGCAAAAAACAGACAAACATCCTGATCGAACAGCCACTTGGAGACTTAAGGAAAATCCAAAACCCTATATCATTGTTCTACAGCTGAAGTTTTATGAAAATCTTTTTTCATGTTAGCTCCTTTAATCAAAAATCAAATTCAAAGAGAATCAGAATCTTAAACTGAGTTATGAAAGAGGTAAAGCTACTTCCAGGATTGAAGCCTCCAGAGAAGGAGTATACAGTAACGATAGATCAGATATATTGAGACATGAGAGATATTAAACAGAAATTAGTTGTTGCCGAAGTAAACTTTGAAAACAACAATTCGGCGTCAAAATCTATATTTTAGCCCTATAACATTATATTTAATTTCTTTGTCTTTCGGTCTTTTTAATGAAAAAAAAAAATTGCTTTTTTTCTTGCATTCAGTAGAAACTTCAAACAATAAGTATTAGAGTTACCTTTTCTCACTGACTCACTTTTAAAACAAATTGTAGCCTTCATCCCAAGGCAACATAATTTTTAATATTGCCTGATTAACAATCTTGTTCCATTAATCGTCACTCCTCCGACGTAAGGGCGTATCTCTGTTTCCACGTAAGCCCTGGAAAGCAAATCGTTATACAGAGAACAGAGCTCACATTGAGATTAACGTACGCTTTTACGAGAGCAGAGCGACAATTATTCCAACCTAGCTATTCCCACTGCATTATTTAGTCAATACATTGGTGACTTAGGAACTTGGTACATACTTGACAGATGTTTTAATATTCTCTGGTGCGTAATAAAGTTTCCCTGGAAAAGAAAACGAGATCATTGGATGTAACTTACATCATGGATTTGATAAAAAAATGAAACTTGCACAGGGTTCATGTATCATACGGTCAAACAAAACAATATTCAAGAGCTGATACCATATTTCTAACAGAACTTCTGACTGAAAATAATGAGAATTTTTCAGACATTCCAAAAAATCTCTTTAGACTTTCGAAACAGGGTGTCCAGCAACCGGGAAAACAGGGAATTAACATTTATTTGGAAGAAGTCAGGGAGCAAAAACATGTAACCGGGTGAATCCCCAACCACGCAAGATAGTGATTTTATGCCTAACTATAATGATACTAAGCCCTGCAGTACTCTCTACAGGTCTGTAAAGAATTTTTTCCTCAGATTTTTGAGCTGTGACCAATCTGTAACAGTGCTTGGCCCTAAGCTATTTTTGTTTTTGTGTTTCTTCCGATTCGGATTAAAAAGTTGAGAGAGACGAAAAATCCAAGACCAGGGGAAACCTGGAAAAATCAGGGGGAAGAAATGGGCGTATTTCTACCCAACGGAACTATGTGTAGTTAGACATGAGCCCCAAGACCCATAAGAATATATGCAAAACAGGGCTCACGTCATAATACACATAGTTCCGTTTGGCAGAAATACGTCCAAATGTATTATACTAGACACCCTGCAAAGACTTGGGTCTTAAAAGAGAAAAGACTCATCTTACAAAAATCCTTGGGACAAGCCTTTGTGTACATAATACATTGAAAATTAACTGCAGAATGGGCCACCATTCAAATGGGAAAATAATGAAGATACTCGAGACAGAAGAGGATAGGGTGACCTCCTAGCGAGTACAAAATATTTGTACAGCTGATGATGAAAGAAAAATATGCGATTCGATTGTGATAAGAAACGTGTGATTCTTAAGGATAGGGCAAAAAAATGTGCACTTGAGGGAATTCCAAACTTTTAGAAACTGAGCGTCTTACAGAACTCAAAAATTGGATAAGTAAAAAAGAAAAATTGAAGGCTTCTCAATGCTGAGCATATTCTGTTACCGTAGAAGGGAAATTTAATTTTTTCTACTATTTTCCCTTCTAACTTGTTAGTCAAAGTATTAGTATGCAAAAAGAGGTGCTTAATTTGATCCATCAGTATAAATTTACATTTCGATGGTAAAACTGCAGACATGTGTATCTTGGTTTGCGGCACTGCAGACTTCTTTTCGTACTTAATTTTCATCATAGAAAACTACAAAACTCATTTATTGGAAAACTTTGGTGAGTTTCCTTCTCTATGTAAGGAATATTCTGTGAACATTTGACACCATGATAATGGTTCCGTCTCCTTTTGAATATTGAAATAGGAGCAAAGATTTCGAAACACCAAAACTAAGATACCTAGGCAGTTTTGCAATTTCACCGTTGATTTGAGAAAATTAAGCTGAAGTTGAGCTGATAAAGTCAAGGAGATGACAAGCGAAAGCTCTGGTTAGTTTTTGAGAGGTTAGGATTTAAAACACAACTGGAAGCCTTCATCCTGAGTTAGTCTTCAAGACAAGAAAAATAATAAAATCAATCCAATCATGAAAATAGCAAATCCTTGATATTGACTTTGCACACTTTTTTGATGAACAACATAAAAGTTTCTTCCGATGTAATTTTATAAGTTACTTTTCTTGGACTGTGATGAATTGGTTTTTGAACTGCGCTTACAGTGAACTTTTTGGTTTGTTTCAAACTATAAAATTTACGATTCTCCCTTACAGTAAATTAATACTTGTCTATATGAATTCATCTCAGAGTCGAGGAAGCAAAATATCAACACAATATGCGAATGAGGTTAGCAGAGAGGAATCTGAGAAAATTGGAAATCTGCCGTTAAATATGGCTCGATGAATTCTGCTTGTGCTCAGTCTTTGTGAATGTTGAAGAGCTTTGCCACTTCATTTAAATCTTCGAACTGTCTCTGTTCTTTTAAAATCTGGAAGTTTACAGAAAAAAGTGAGTTAGTTTCAGTGACAGAGAAAAATGTGTGAAAAAACTTGAACATAGAAAGAAAACTTTGATGCTAACAAAACCTGGAGCATTTCAAGAGGTTAAGCTTTGCGAATAATTTCAATTAAATCCACAATATTAAACTCGTATTTCAGAAATGGGTCTGTTGCACACAAGAAAACATTCTCTCCGTCGGTAAAATGGCACGAAAATAACGTAAGGCACGTCAAAAAAGTCTGCGATCCGTTCCTTAACGCACGATCTGCGTAGTTGGTAACACACTTCTTCGAGTTTCCGTTCCTTCAAGTTGCGGGCAGTACTTCTCAGTCACCGCTGACCAGGTTTGCACAGGAGAGGAGTAACAAAACTAACTTAAGTAAATAAATGACTTCAATAACTTTTTCTATTGTATGATTTCAAGTGTTGGTTTCCTTCTTCTTTCTTTATTTGGCAAAAACAAAAGTTTCGAATCAATTGAAATCTTACACAAGGAGAGTTTATAACAGTTTGTAAGATTCTTTGTTTATTTAGATTAGGTCTCTCTCCAGGCAAACCTGACTGCTAACCACCAAGAAAAACTGCCTGCAAACGAGGTAAATTTAAAAAAAAAAAAGCGTTTTACAAACTACACAAATTAGGCGCTAAGCAGTGGAATTCAGACTTTTTGGATGTGCCCAACTTAATTTTCAGGTGGATTTTTCCGTAGAAAGTATATTCAGTTGGCTGTATCTCTTCTATGCGACAGACTCATTCATCTTTGGAGCACACTATGACTGTTCTGATGAAATATGAGGGTAATCAAGAAAGTTTTCCTGTGGATTTTCTTGCAAAGTATTAATGTTACAGAAAAACCAGCTATTCTGTTACATGGAGTATATTTCCAGCTTTAATTTAAACTCTCATTTTTTAAAATTGGAATACAGGAACGCTCAGGAGGGTAATTTTTCCACACCACCATCATCACTAGATCATCCCTGGATCTGAGTACCCCAAAAACGCTTTGTAAAAGAACACTAACTTCTTGAGTTCATGCAAACACGTGAAAAGTTTATCGCTGGGAAAATAATACAGCTCACTTTTAACTTTCCAATTTACTATTCAATGTGCTGCCCGTTGATGTCCGAGCATTTTTACTTAGCATGAGCTTGGGAATCCTTTTGGAAATTTTTGTTGACTTTTCAGAAAGGACTCATTCAGTCTATGATTCATAAAAAAGAGATGAAAAAGGAATGAATTTTATAGCGAGGACATATGTTGAGAAACTACCTGTCGAGCCACCATCATACGATTGAAGATATTCCACAAAACCATTCCTACAATGATTCCATCTTTCAGGTAAAATATGACCCCTTTGTCAAATTTTTCATCTGGAACATTATCCTTGGAGACCACTTTGATATCAGGTTTGATAGCAATTCCAGACTGAAAAGAAAAGAAAAACAGTGTTAAAATCATAGGCTTGAATACAGCGCACTTGCAGAGAACATGCACGGACGGAAGATGCATTTAAAATTACAGTCCATTCTTTTAAAAATCTCCCAAATATCAGGGAAAGAGAACTTAGCTCCACAATAAACAATGATGTCCAAAGTTCACAGGCTGGGAAAAAAGAGACGCTTTTTCTAAAAAATATATGGGTACTGTTTAAATTTCTACAATTATAAAGCGCAACTATTAGAGATTTAATATTACATTATTATTCAAATTTTGGAATTTCTGCAAAACAGAGGGAAATAGCATGAAGCATTCGTCAAAAGCAATTAAATTAATTTATTGTTTAAACTATCTAAGAATACTTATGTGTTACAAAATAAAAACTTTTTAAAAAAAAAACAGCTGATGTTATTACATAATTTTTGCAGCTTTATACGAAAGACTGCCTCATTGAAAAATTGTATCAACAACGCATTTTCTCCCTGAGGCCTGTTAACAACCATTCAATTAAAGGAGGGGTTGCGATTTGGGCCGAAATCGGCCCCTCCGCGGAATTGGATAATTTTTGGATATTTGGCAGTTGACGGTGCATAAATGATGGGTATAATCGAGTTCTGCCAATACTCACGTTTTTGGACTGCGAAACAGGGGCCTAAACATGGCTCCGTGGCCGAAAATAGCTGAAAATCCATGTTTTCCGCGGTTCTACCTCAGATTTGGACCTGGGCCCAAAGGCGACGGGTGATGAGCTTCGAATATGGTGTCTGGGACACCTAGACACGTAACATACTTGAATATGATCAACCGTCGCCTTTGGGCCCAACCTCAAAATCGAACTTTTCCAACTTTTTAGCCCGAAATAGCTGAAAATCCATGTTTTCCGCGGTTCTACTTCAGATTTCGACCTGAGCCCAAAGGCGACGGTTGATGAGCTTCGAATATGGTGTCTGGGACACCTAGACACGTAACATACTTGAATATGATCAACCGTCGCCTTTGGGCCCAACCTCAAAATCGAACTTTTCCAACTTTTTAGTCCGAAATAGTTGTTAAGTACTGTTTGTACAACGTTCTATTCAGGTTCTGGACTGAACCCAGAACTTGCCTTCGAATACAGAGAATGGATTCATATCTTCTTGCTATATTGTCTGTCACAAGTCACTTGAATGAATGCGAAAACTGAGTTTTGTACTATTTCAGGTACAGGTTAACATGTCAGCTCCAGATTCCTTGATTGCTTGCTTGAGCTCTCCAGTGCTTGGTAATGTTACCATTATGAAAAGCTCACTGTAATTAAACAGCATACAGGTTTGTATTTGATGACTATCTCAGGTGAGAGATATCTGATGATAGGAACTTCAAGATAGGTTCTTTTTGACTGAATGCAGTTTTCACCAAATGTAACTCTACGGTGCTTATCATGGCCTCAGGAAGTCAGAGAAGTTTGCTTTGTTGGAAAGTGAAAAAGTTCGATTTTGAAGTTGGACCCAAAGGCGACGGTTGATCATATTCAAGTATGATACGTGTCTATGTGTTCCAGACACCATATTCGAAGCTCATCACCCGTCGCCATTGGGCCCAGGTCCAAATCTGAGGTAGAACCGCGGAAAACATGGATTTTCAGCTATTTCGGGCTAAAAAGTTGGAAAAGTTCGATTTTGAGGTTGGGCCCAAAGGCGACGGTTGATCATATTCAAATATGTTACGTGTCTAAGAATCCCAGACACCATATTCGAAGCTCATCACCTGTCGCCTTTGGGCCCAGGTCCAAATCTGAGGTAGAACCGCGGAAAACATGGATTTGCAGCTATTTTCGGCCACGGAGCCATGTCTAGGCCCCTGTTTTGCAGTCAAAAAACGTGAGTATCGGCAAAACTCGATTATTTCCATCATATATGCACCGTCAACCGCCAAATATCCAAAAATTATCCAATTCCGTGGAGGGGCCGATTTCGGCCCAAATCGCAACCCCTCCTTTACATTTTTCCACCGAAGGCAATAAAAAACAAACAAACAAATACATACTTTTTCGGAATTGTCTTTTTCATCTTCTGATGAGGCCTCCCTACTATCCTCTTCTGCTTCTAGTGCGTAGACACCAACAGTGGGAAGAGAAGAGTCGATAATGCCAATTGCTTCAAAGCCAACCTCAGGACCAATATCAGACCAAAACATCGACTGATGCCAATACGGTTTACTTGCTCCAGTCATATTTTCACCAGCTAGACGTCCTGAGACAACGGCGTGATCATGGTGCTCTACACGCCTCCTCCCGAGATCAGGGTCGTAAAAACAAGCGCAGTCCCCTGCCTGAATGAATTATAAAAAATAATTTATTAATTTTGGTTTATAATCCTTCAGAAAATCTAGAAACAAATCGAAGATTTGGACTTAAAAATACTTCAGCAGCCTGATAGTTGAAATTTTGTATTTGTCGGGTGGACATGGATGACATAGGTTAAAAGGCAGAGCATGATTGGTTGGCTGTGTCGTATCGTTGCTTTATTGTGCCTTTGTCAGGTGGAATGGACGACATACTGTCGGAAACTTAAGAGGTGCCTTTAGTTTGTCGTGAGTTCCACCCGACAGGGGCACGACAAAGCAGCGATAAGACATAGTCGACCAATCTTGCTCTGCCTTTTGACCTATGTCATCTATGTCTACTCGACCAACACAAAATTTCAAAAATCAGGCTGCAGGTGTCTACAAGTCTTAACCATGCTCATTCCGTAATTTTTCCCCGATTTTCCTTGATTTTCAAGAGCTCATTCATTGGTGAGGAACCACAGTTCATACCCAGTTCCCCGTTATTTTTTGGGGTAAAACCATGTGAATCTGAAAAGTTCCAGATATAAATATCAAATTTTTATTTATTTTTCAGCCGATTTTTCGGTGCACATTCGAATTTTTAATTCCAAAGCATTCCTGATATCTACATTATCTGGTCGATGGAAGCTTCTCTTTTATTACGATAATTTGAAGATCCCAATACGTCATTCAAGAGGTCAAAAATGGCGGCTCGGGTGCAATAACATAAAGCTTAATAACAATGAGTACTTGAAATCTCTGCAATATTTAAAGAGGAAGTGGCTCTAGGCAGTGGAAGAAAAGATTTCTGGGTTCTGGAAATTTTCTCCTGATTTCTTTGAAATTTTTCATTTCTTGGTGAATCCTGGTTTTCCCCCATTATTCTCGGTTCTGGACACCGTGCATTAAGTCCTAGGTATACAAGATGATTAATCGCCGCGAGTGAAAGATGAAAGCCAATGGAGAGCCTTGATTTCGATATATTGACACCAATGTATCAAAATTAAGGCTTCCCATTGGCTTTCGTCTTTCACTCGCGGCGATTAATCATCTTGTGTATCTATGCCTTTAGGTACTCTCTAGCATCCAAAACAAATTCTAGGAAGTTGGGTCTTGGAGAAAATAGAAAAAACTGAGCATATAATATCATAATTTTTCACACAAAAGGCACATCCCAATTTCTAGCTACTCACAAGTGAGCAAAAAAAACCGATAAATAAAATGCAATCTGTGAAAAAAACACAGTGAAGCCTGGAAGTTAAGTAAAGTAACATGCACAGTAGGATGACCATAAAATTCAGTTGGCCAAACGGAACCAAAAATGGATTGCAAATGAAGCGCAAAAGTGGGTGTTACGACTTAGAATTAAGATAATTGAATCTTGGGCTTTCATTGATTTCCAAACAAAAATTGATGATGAGTCATACAAACCGCATAGAGATCTGTTCTGGCTTCAAGTTCCGCATTGACTAAAAATCCACCGTAGTCTTTGTCCACTTCTAACTTCGAGGTTTTGGCCAAGTCGGTGTTTGGTTCAATTCCTACAGCTACCACAATGTGATCCACTGTAATCTGAGAGGAAAGTTAAAATTTTCGATTATAAAAAGCTTTATGGATGAGTAGAGTGACTCACAAGATAAGTATATCCTGATGATGATAGTATTTATTTGGAAATCCACTGAGTCAAAAAGGTAAAACTACTTGAATCATGTTCAGAACCCAAATACACACACCGCAGCCTCACATTTAATTAAGCTTTTATAGGTGGCTATTCATTTAAATTAAAATTCCTCAATTATAAAAAATTAAAAATTGAAGGAGAAAGTAGAGACCAAAAAATGAGATGAATATTTTTATTTATTCCATCCGTATTATTAGGTAATAAAGTATTTTGAATAACATGAACAGAAAGATTGTGTGTATATGTCAATAATAGAAAAAGTTATACCAATTATTATAATAAGTATAATTATAACTATGATTGAAATTAATCACAATTTCAACCATCGAAAAGAATCAAGCATCAAAACGCAATTCTGTAACCAGTGCGACAGACCCATTGTGTTAAAAATGTATACTTACTTCTTCACCAGAGCTTAATTTCAGATTCAATTGACCTTTATTTGTCAATGATACAGACTGCGGCTCCGAATTTTTATGAACTAATACGCCCTCTTTCTCCACTTTTTTACTTGTCCAAGCACTCAGGTAAGCGGGAAGAATTTTACCCATATTTCCATTTTCTCTAAAAATTTGATGAATTTTAACATTTTTGTCGCGCCCTGAAAGAAAATTCAAAGGAGAAAATTAATACATGAAATTAGCCTCGATTAAAAGAGATAAATATTGGTCAGAGGGGATTAACACACTTCGAGAATTTTCTTTTTTATCACAGCTCTATTTTTTCATGCACTTACTCTAACCCTGACTTGACATAGACAATTCTTGTGTCTTTTCAAGACATAGCTTAAAAACATTTAAAATTGGGTAGATTTTTATTGGATGTAATGGTTAGAAACATTAGCAATTGTGGAATCATAAAAACACAGGTATTGGTTGCAGTGTTTCAAAATTTCTGTTCCTACTTTATTTTTGAAAAAGTGTTGCTAGACGTTTTCATATGACATTTCTATGGTTTAGTCTTGTGAGGCAGGGGGAAAAACAATCGTCATTATCCAATGCTAAAAGGATCATTGATCGTGGTCATATTTCAAAAAAAAGTAAAACAGGTAATAAAAGAAATTTTGAGTATTACAAACCCAAGATACCACTACGATTTTATTATCTACACTTGATAGGCTAATAGCCTTGATTAGGCTGCAATTGATCAAACACATTGCTGACCTACACAACGGAGAAGAAATTGAGACTAATAAAAGCTTAGAATCACTATAAGAGAGGGAGACAATCTAACGAAGGGAAGAAACTAACCTTTTTTAGCGATCGCACATGCTAGTTCACTTCCTAAAAACCCTCCGCCGATGATAGCTATTGCTTCAGGTTTAGCGTTCACCAATTCACAAAGTTCCTCATAATCAAACACATTTCTGAACAGAGTGATCTAAAAAGCAACAAAAATATATTCATATTCTTGATTAATATGGGTTTAAGTATAATTCACTGCAATCTGAGTGCCAGATACTCATATCGACAGGGTAAGTCGGCAATCACATAACTCGGTTTGCGAAGTCGCAGACTTCCTGTCATACTTTATTTTTAAACAGAAAACTACTCAATGGCAATTCATTGAAACTGCCTAGATTTTTCTTCTCTGTGTGAAGAAAATTCTGCAAAAACCTCGAGGAATGATGTCAATTTGTTCTCTTTCAAAAAAATAACATGGAGGCGGAAATTTTCAGACATTGCAAACGAGATATGTGATAGTAAACTTACGTCGTTGATATGTAAAACCTTGATATTCAATTTAAAGTCAACCAATGATTCTGTAAAAGTGGCTGAAATTCCATAATATCCTTGCAGTATCTTGAAATGCGTTTTAAAATGCTGCACACACCTAAGAGGGTTGGGCTCTCCATTGATGGAATAAGCTATTTAATCTTTATTGATAGAAAACCAAATCTGTTGCAAAAATTGGCTGCATCCTACTAGAACCGTCCATAAAATCAGTGCCTATCAAGCTATCAATTATCAATCAATTTGTGGTTTTTTTTTTCAGTCATGTTATAAGTGCTTCGATCTAAGGTCCCAAAAGTTCATCAGCTAAAAGCTAATTAATTTGGTACTGGGGATAATTTTTTGGGGCTGCTTAAGAGCTCTTACTCACCTGCAAAATACCTTCAAAAATTATGCACCCATGAAATTAACTACATTTTAATGAAATGAGGATTAAACTCAAAGTTCATGACACTTTCAGGAGTTGATTAGCAATATACAAATTTTCTTAATCTGATTACTGATTGAATATCTGAATTAATTCAAAATTTTGTGATCAGCAATTAGAGTTACCTTAGATTCTCTCATTTTTGATGTTATTACACCACATTTTTCAGAAAAAAACTTCATTGTGGTCCACTATAATTATCCATTGCCTCGTCAGAAAATGGAGATGAGAAGTGATACGTTAAATAAAATCTTCAGTGAGAGCAATGCTAGAGATTTTGTGCAGCGTTACCTTGTTTTTTATTTCATCCGAGGCCTCTGCAAAAACAGGGAGATTTTTTGGTTTTCCTCCAGTGGCAATGAGGCACTTTTCGTACTTGATTTCTTTGCCATCCTCAAGAATAGCTTTCCTTTCATTGGGATCAACCTTGACGATCGTCCATCCTCGAGCAACAGAAACTCCACCTGCATCTTTCTCCAAGTCTTCAATTTTGGTGTAAAAATCTTCCGGCTCATAATACAGGCTAAAATACAATTAAAATATCCACTCATCAGCAGAATCTTTAAGAATAATTTAGGAATCGATTACAATTTTTTTAAGGAGTTCTGTTTCAGTTTATAAAACCAGAAGAAATATTTTCTGTACAATCGGTCATTCATATTTTGAACCCTCAAATAGAAGGTGGATATTAAAGGCATTTTTTGGTGCATAAGTAAAAACAATGAGGTCCCCCTATTAAAATTATGAAGCACATTAACTGAGAAGTGCAAATGGACTTGATATTTCCGATTTGAGGGTAAAATGAAGGCTCATTCACTGGGGTCCTTCTTTAGTTTATGGTTCAACTTATAGCCATGTTGCAGCAGAGGGCGGCTTATTTTGGTGGTGTTAAAAAAAATCGACTTTATGAGGGTCCCAATTGGTCCATTTCATAAGAAGTAGACGTTACCTAATATTTGAGTCGGTCTGCAGAACTTTCAGATAAAGTGAAGAGAGGACTTAATATATTTTTAGGTAGATTTCGAAGAAATATCTACCTATTGCAGACGGTACGACCTCGTAATTTTCGGGAATTTTCGCTCAAAGAGCATCGATCCTAAAGCCCTGAATTGAAAAATGTAGGTCATAAAAAAGTACGATATATATGTATATATATAACTGGGATCTAACAAACCTTTGCAACCGTTTTTTTCCGGAACTATCCGCACGATCAAAACGAAACTAAGCATGGTTCTTCACTGCTATGAGGTCTAGATCAAGTTTTCTTTTTCATGAAAATCGGTCCACCCCTTATCCGGAAAATCTCAGGTCCAAATGGGGATGATTTTTCAAACTCGTCGGATCTTAGTCGGTGATACGTTAAAAAACTCGTCTCGTCGTGGCCTTCAAAACAACCGATTTTCACCTACCCTCTAAAACCACCCCTTATCCGGAAAATCTCAGGTCCAAATGGGGATGATTTTTCAAACTCGTCGGATCTTAGTCGGTGATACGTTAAAAAACTCGTCTCGTCGTGGCCTTCAAAACAACCGATTTTCACCTACCCTCTAAAACCACCCCTTATCCGGAAAATCTCAAGTCCAAAGGGGGATGATTTTTCAAACTCGTCCGATCTTAGTCGGTGATACGTCAAAAAACTCGTCTTGTTGTGGCCTTCAAAACAACCTATATTCACCTACCCTCTAAAACCACTCCTTATCCGAAAAATCTCAAGTTCAAGGGGCCGATTTTCCGACCTGTCAGGCTCATTAGGCGCAATTGTTTTCATAGAAAGCAACAATTAGTCGAAATCTACCTCTCGTTTCCACTGTGGCTGGAAAGCGTTTTTTTTGCATTGTAAAGCAGTGGGTATAGACACAGTGATGCTGAATCTATTGTAGTTTTATTTTCCAAATAAATAAAAAAATTTCTGACTGAGTGAATCATCTTGTTCAAGTCGTCACTAATAAACAGAGCATGTTCTGGAATGCTAAAAATTTTCTTGAAAATTTCACTAACCTTCTCTCAGTTCCATTCCACTGTTTGAAAGTCAAATTGGACGGATCGTTATCTGAATACCAGATTTCTTTCGAAAGCGGAGGTCGCATGTAAGGATAATACGGTTCATTTCCTATCACTAACACCTGTAACATAAAGACAGTGTCATTATGGGGTCATGCTTTTGATGTACCAGGATGTTCTGGACTTTGGCCTGGCAAAAATATAAGAATTTAATAGTCAATGAAATTAAATGAAGATGCAATCCAATCTCCGCCACACTCTAAAGTGCCACAAAAAAATTCACCATGCAGCAAAGACACCTCTCTGGAAGGGGTATCCGTAACTGCACCTTATACTTGGACCCTAATTTTTGAATAAAGCTAGGACAATGATAATTGGGGGGGGGGGGGGGGAGAGTTCCTCTTGAAAACTTTGAAAAAGGGGAGATGGAGGCAACTACTATCCCTCAATCTGTGACGCACTATCTATGGCCAAAGGTAGTATTTTTCCATTGTTAAGGGGCGCTTGTGACAAAAAAGACTGTTTTTTTTTTTTTTTTTTTTTTTTTTTTTTGTATTCATCAAATTATGTTACAACCACCTGTTTACAAGTGTAAATTAACTTTGTTTTACAAATATAATAACAATCAAATTAACTATTTTAATTTTCAACTGTTCTTGATGAACATTTTTTTCATGCTTTAACCTCTAATACAACTTCAGATGATTTTTATTTTATTTTCACTGGCTGGAAAAAAAACAAGGATTTGCTATTCAATTTCCTAGATCTTCAAATTTTAGTAATTCCAGTTTTTTTTCACTTACAGAAAACGATTTTTTTTAAAAAAAAAAGTCTGATCCTCATTGCCATTTTTCTAAAAATTCTTGCATGTACCTACTTAAGCTGCACCTTTATTTTGGGCTATCCAAAATCAAAACTTTGAACTTGAATTCAAGGCGATAATGAAATATCCATACTTTGAAAGAGGGCCCAAACGTCTGAGGCTCCCAAAAAAGAATCTAAGTTAAAACTTTGTTTTAAGAGAGAGGGGAATAATCTCACCTTGGCAGTGGGATCATGTGACTTAATAGCACGAAAAGCAGAGAAGGATGCCGTTCCACCTCCGACTAAGAGGTAAGGAATTTCATCTGGAATATTATCAGAGGTGGCAGGAACTTTGACTTGTTCTCTTGGTCTTTGAAACTCTGTGAACAAAATTGAAGACATCAAATGGACATAATTACTTGGTGAATATAATCTACTTAAACAAAGAATCAATAAATAAACTACACTCAACGAATAGAATTGTCGAAAGTTTGACAATATGTAGCCTCAGCTGATGAAAAAACCAACTGTCGCATGGTCAAAAATGATCATGTCACCAAAGATCCAAACAAACAGTCTCAGAGCCATGTTCTGACGGTAAAACAAATTTAGAGAACACTGTTTAAAAAGGACTGCACAAGAATTGTATTAATCATCAACATTTTTAAAAAGACTCATTTGCACAGTTAGCAGGTCCCTAGAAATGCGTCCAATGTTAAAATTACAAGGGAGTCTTTTCGAAAATATTGATGGTTAATAAAACTGATAGCCCCCTCCATTGAAGCATTCTTATACTTTCTTACACTTCCTTCTTCTAAGGAGAGAAAGGGATCGTCTAAAAAAAATTTCTGGGATGTTTCTTCTGATTAGTTTCCTCCTTCGACAAGAAAGAAAAAAAAAGAAGAAAAAACTGAACATTATGAGAACTCTACGACTAATTTCAATTGTGTAAGTAAATAATTGCATATTATTTTAACCTTGAGCATTATTTGTTGAAATTAGCTAATTTGCAAAAAAAAGAATAAGTACATTTATACATTTTATTATTCAAAAGAATTCAAAACCTGACAATAAAAATAGTTAGGATTGATGAATTTTTAGCATGGTCAGATTCATTGGTGACTTTTTTCCAGGTTCTTCAGCATTATGAAACTACACAATTGTAAGAAAAATGATACTAAATTGAAAATGAGAGCTCAGCATCTTTGTCATACCTCTTTTCTTTTTACTTTTGTTTTCTGTAGATACATCTGTAGGACTACTTTTGGATGACGGTGAAAACTGAAACAGTTGAAAATAAAACAAGGTGAAAAAAAGTGGCGATTTAAAACAAAATTTTATTCATTATATCAGGAATTGAGCCAAGATATTTCTTAATTAGACCAAAATCACAATGTTCACTAAATGATTCATGATTCTGTCCCACTATGACTGCCATTACAAAAAATACTCATATTGACACCAAGAAAAGTTTCAATATGTTTACAACCTCCGCAAGAGGCTGGCAATCCTAAATTATTGAAAGTATCCTCAATTTTTTGGAGGCATGAAGATTAAGGATAATGAATGAAATTGTGCAAGGAGCAAAGGAGAGAAGATGCAACAGAAATCCAATTTTTGAGTGGTACAGCTGATTCGATGACACATTTTAAGCATAGTGCCCTCTGAGATTAGTATGCTAAAACCTGCTTAAAAGGTCGACCTTATCTCTGCAGAGAGAATCTGACTGATTGTGGAGACAGACTTTTCTGCAATCATAAATTGCTACTACTATTACAGACACCACTAGATGATCTTTCTTTAAACGATAGAGTTCAATTCTAAACTAAACTGATAACACTATCATTTTCCTTACAAAACTTCAGGAATGAATAATGATTTGCAAAATTCTCCTTTTAAAGATAGAGTCCATTTTTTGATGGTTAAACGCAAAGGATGGCGATAAAGCTGTCTTGTACAAATGAAGCAAGCTGTCAGCTTTTAAGAATTATCAAGAGTAAGCAACAGCTAACTCATTTATGTGAAAAAACAACTGAGCAATCTTCAAAGCTGTTAGATAAAATTGAACTTGGTCTACCTGTGTTGCATTGTCAAGTTTTTGACAAGTCTACTATCTAAGGAAGTTTTTGATAATTCAACAAATAATTTGAAGATTATGATACTACCTTATAGACAGTTGCTGCTAATACGATAAGTCCTATGGCTAGAAAAGCATTTCGCTTTGTTTTGTTATCACCAATAGGGGGATCAGGAGGATCTGGTGGATTCCCTGTAGATTGATTTGGCGAAGCCGAGTTGCTTAAGGCCTAAAATAAATTTGCAAATACATAAAAATCATTACTACATTTAAAACTTATCTGAGCAGAAGCAGAAAGCAAAAGTAAAGAAAAAAAAGGTAACTAAAGTCAACCTCAAAAGGATCAATATATTGCCTTTATGTAGGTGAAATGAAGGTATGCTTTTCCCCGATTCCAGTACTCAAAAACTGCAAAACCCTCAAATGCACTCATTCCACGTTGGTCTGGACGTTACTGACTTACTACTGCGATCAACACTGACAGTAGAGATAACAGTAAAATTGGGGACCCCTGGTAAAAAAGCTTCAACCTAGTGTTTTTTACGAAAACGTATGGTTTCAATTTTACACCCTAACACTTTGTCAAGATAAGATGAAGGGATCTTAGCTAGTATTGTCTGTAGCTGTGCCTCACTTCTATCTCCTCCATATCCTTGACCATTGAATCATTTAAGGATGGAACATTTCAGTGAACCCAGATTTTATCCCTGAGATTATTAATATATAGATTATGATTATAGATAAGAATTAAATATTGGCCTGCGGCCAACATAATAATTTGAATGTGCTGTTTAACCACTTGGAGAGAAAATTTTAATATACTGTGATGGAGCAATGCAGTTTTGCATTTTGGCTATCAATATGGAGTCCATGAAACTTTCTCAAAAGAAATTTCCATACGGATTCAAAATTGGAGATTGGAATTTGAAAATGGCAGGTGGATTTTACTGGAGATTGAATATTGATTCTACTTCATTTCGATGCTTTGGCTATGTCCCACTTTCTATCTTTCCTCTCATAAAACCTGGGGAAGACCTTAACAGCATTCAGAGTATTATTACTTCATCTTACTTCATTTGTTTTTGTTCTAAGCGTGGCAGAGCAGCATATACTCTGGCAGGTGACTTCCACATCAGGTAGAGGTAAAACTGACGATGATGCTGAAACAGAATAATACAACATGGGAGAATTATTTACTATAGCAAAAAACATTCACTTAAGTTTAAGTCGACAGTGTAAGTTGGCGATCACATAACTTGGTTTGCGACGTCGCAGACTTCCTGTCATACTTTATTTTTTAAACGGAAAACTACTCAACGGCGATTCCTTAAAACTGCCGTGATTTTTCTTCTCTGAGCGAAGAAAATTCTGCATGAACTTCAAGGAATGATGTCAATTTGCCCTATTTTAAAAAAATAACATAGAGGCAGAGATTTTCAGACACCGCAAATGAGATATGTGATTGCAGACCTACGCCGTCGAAGTGCATTACTTGATGTTGAAAATATGAAAACAATTTCACTTTGGAGATAAAGAGCAGACATCGTAAGAGAGTAGGAGTCAACAAATCAGATACAGAGTCTATAAAAAAAGAAAACTTAATAGCCTTATCTAGTCACTGAAGCTCAAGAACTTCGCGACTGCATGACCGACAGGCTAACTTTAGAGGAGTGCAAAAATGAAAAGGTGAAGAAAACCGTTTGAAAATGGTTATAACACAAAGAGATGTATAGAAAACTGGAAAACTAGCTTGTGTCTACTTGAAAATCACCCAGAGAGATCAAACCTTTACAGCTTTTGATATTGCCAACTTTAGAGACTACACACCCCTTGCTTTACGACGGCTGATATAGAAAGGGAAGATGGATGATTGGGTTCTTGGGCTAGCCAGCAATGGAATCAGGCACCCAGTATCTAATACTTCAAAAAATATCGTCTCCAGCTTGACACTACTGTTCCGAGGAGGGCTAACATTTAATCAACACTAAGTAGTCTCAATAAAAAATTTGGCAGCTCTAAATTTATTCAGATATCAGGTATTAATAAGTAAACGCAGACGCTTTGGTACTAAAGCCTTGCTGATAAAGCACTTTTCTTCTTATCTGTGAAATGCGATTCGGGCTGGTTCAACCGGCCTAACCGCAGCCTCAACCCGCCTCCGAAGAGCAGTCCCAGTGTTCCACTGGAACGCATGTAACGCACTGAAGGTGCGCAGTGGAACAGGATAAAAAGGTGATGCTTCTGTAGCGATCCTCCGTAGTTCGGCTAAAAAAAAAGTCCTTAGGTTGATGGACATCGTATCAACATAACCTCAATTCGTTATCTCATCTCAAATTAATGATGGTGTGATGTTAGAAGAGTAATGATGTTAAGGTGAAATAACTACGCAATGTGGTTTTTTACGAACTGAGTAATATTTGAAAAACAAAAGGAGGTAGCATGAATATGCAGAGTATGCAGCATGAATAGTGTAAGCCGCGTAACTGATGACAAAAATGAGGTTATATAGTTAACCATGTTTGCCCAGATTTAACACAAAAAATCTGGTTTGACATGAGAGAAATCGTTTGGGGGCCATAAATAAATTCAAAGCTAAATGTAAAATAAATTCAACATCGAGGAATATTGCATTTATCAAGAGTGAGGGAGGTTATAAACAAACATGAGTCTGTGAGATAAGAGGCCGGAAAACCGAAATATTAGATCATGGAAGGAGAAATTACCTCTGAACAGCCTGGTTCTTCGGAAACTTCCATATTTACGTTGGGATACTCCGCTAAGTTGTTTTACAAGTCTAATATTTTTGAACATTGTTAAAGAGTGCGGTCATGCTTGCAAAAAGCACGAAGTTCGGTTCGCGTTCGCGTTAGGGATGTTCCGATTATCGATTACTAACCGATTAATCGATTAATCGGTTACCTTTCGATTACGATTAGTACTCGATTACGTCTTCCCCGATTAATCGTCTAATCGATTACTTCAAACGATTAATAAAAAATAATCGATAATCGTATACAATCGATTACTTCAAACGATAATCGATTAATTCAAACAAAAGGTTGATCCACCTCCAGCCATGGGTCAGATACGTCAGATAAAACCACCCAAACCAAATGTGATTGGACTTTTAAGTATGACGTCGGCTGGCACTATAATCTGATTGGCCCCCCGGCTGTAGATGTAGCTGCAGCTGCGGTCTTGTTCTTTCTTACTTTCTTTCTCAATTATTTCATTTCTTCTTGTGCTACGATCACATCAAATTTTCCAAACCAAGTATTCCTCGAAATTCCATCAGTCTGATTTTAATGTTTAATCAACTCTGTAATTCAGCGATATCTTATTCATTAGCAAATGAAAGTTTTCAACGCGCCTTTTGAATGAAAATTATTCTTGTGTTGTTATGTTATTACATTCTATCGTGCATGTGCACGTTTTGCACAAAATTTTCTTTAATTTTTAACTCTCCAAATTATATTACATGTTTAGTTCCAGTTATTTGTGTTCATATTTATTATTTACATTTCATTTTTGAACTGGAGAGTTGTATTGACTCTTAAATTTTGTGCTCTTCATTTTTCAGTACCTAATGACAATTTAGAGAATTCTTTAAATCAAAGATGTGTGGTACCTATTTGAGGCGTTGAGTGCAAAAAGGGCATTTCTCGGTTACCGGATTTCAGAATCTCCAGTGCTAATTTATCCTTTAGAGAGGAAACTCTTGGGTGAATTTTCTGAAATTTCACGTTTTTAGCATTTTAAAATCCAAGAGAATATTCAGTGAAAGTCACAATGAATTACGAAATTGCTTTAATCTTAATTCATAACGGATGAAACGTTAGAGAAGATTTTGAGACACCACAACCAAAAAATGCCCTTGCACCCAGCGCGTCAATTTTAAGTCCTCATTTTGGACTCAGTCGAAAAACATTTTTTTTCTTGAATGAATTCTTCAACTAAGTAGACAAACAATTATTTCCGTATAGACTGTAAGTATGAGGAACCCGATTTTGAAAGCAACAACCTCATCTCTTTGTATGGTGTGCAGCTTCAAAATTTTACCAGTTCTTTATTTAAAATTTTCTTCGTAAGATTTAAGATACAAATGCAGGCAAAACTGCCCAAAATTTTAGGTATTATAACAGAAAATAAACAAAGTAAGAAAACTACTAAACAGCTTACTTAGGGTAAAAAATAAGAGATTCAAAAAGCATTATCAAAGCTTTTGATCTTATCGATTAATAGTCGATTATTAATCGATTAATCGATTATTTGATTCCGATTAATCGTAGTAATCGATTATTAAAACTAGGTTACTACCGATTACGATTAATCGATTATTTGACTAATCGAACATCCCTAGTTCGCGTACTGTGCGCAAGGTTGACTATTAGGAGGTTGGTACTATCACCCAATTCGGCGCCATGTTGATGACGTACTAGTGGGACTTCGAGTAGCGCGAAGTTTGAATTGAGACGTCTCGTGCGAGTTGCGCGCACAATTTCTTATGCACACATTATTCATTGTAACAGAATATGAAAATATACATTACTAGAGGCCTATGGCCGCCAACCATTAAGAAAAGCTGCATGCGAAAAATAGTAGAACAACCACGTTCAAGTTATTCAAGAGATGAATGGATTCAAAAGCCGACGGGACGGGTGCGTGCGAAAGAAATCTTATTCGTCTCTGATTCCAACGTTTACACCGTTTTTAAGAAGCTACACATAGCTTTTCTACGAACTTTCCTAAATGATTTCACATAAAAGCATCGAAAATTTCGACGCGATATTTTCGTTCATTCTATTTTCTTTTCCTGTTACAAAACAAAAAAATTAAATATCCTCCTAGTTTCCGAATCATTACAATGAGGACACACATTCTCCCTTTACTTAGGTATGGTAAAAACCGGAGCAGATGAGAGACAAGAATGATATCACGTAATCCTAATTTAACTTTAGTATCGCGCGAGCCAGGGAAGGGAACGCGGTGGAGTTATCATTGCAGTGTGACGCGCCTTCCATTTGGCTAGCGACAATATACCTACACCCATGGTCGAATAGTTATCTCGTTACGCCTGCCGTAAATAAAATCAAAAATCAACGCCTGCTACACACAGTTTTTGTACAAGTTTCCGAGAAATTCCCGGAATGATTTGAAATAAACTCACACAAAATTTCGACGCGATAATTCCGTTCGTTCGTTTTATTTTTATAAAACCAAAATTAATATTACGCGAATCAAGTTTCAGAATAGCTGCATCGTTTAAACTTCGTCCGAGCTGCTGAATCGTTGCAATTAAGATAGGTACTTATTTACCCTTTAATTGTGGCAAAAACGGGGCAGGGACCATCAAAAGAAATGATGCGTGGTCCTAGTTTTGCGGCGATTTTAGCGTCGCGCAAGTCGGGGAAGGGAGCTCAGTCGAGTGTCCAGTTATCTTTACAATGTGATGCACCTTCAATCCAGTCGGCTATGTGCGTATACCCGCGGTCGAGTAGTTATCGCAAATAATCTCTCGCATTGCGTTTTGTGCAATGCAAGAAGTATTCATGCAGTCTTGTAGGCGCTAATATGCGTTTGACGCCGACCGCACTATTTGCCGCAATGCGTAAAGTATTCCTATCGTCTTGCAGGCGCTGATGTGAGTTTGATACCGACTGTACCGTCTTCGGCGCGATTATTTGAACTCGCGTTAGGATAATCGCGGCATCGAAAAATGGGGCTTAAAGCCGATGTTGTGTTGCGACGCCATATGAGCAGTCCAGCGTTGTCTTCCGATAGAACATTTTTTCTGAGAAAAGTTGGAAAATTGTTCAATGTTCGCTTTTTTAGATTGAATGGACCATTAAACAAGTTAAGAATTTAAGCACTCTGATACATGATTCTTCAACAGAATTTCATGCGGATTCTTTCTTCGAATTGGAAGGGCATCACACTGCGAAGATGACTGGACACTCGACCGCGCTCCTTCTACTGGCTTGCGCGACGCTAAATCGCCGGAAAACGAGGACCACGCGTCATTTCTTCTGACGGTCCCTGCCTGGTTTTTACCACAATTAAAGGGTAAATATTAATTTAATTCCAACGATTCAGAAACTCGGACGACGTTTAAACGATGCAGCGATTCTGAATCTTGATTCGTGTAAAATAAATTTTGGTTTACCTAATAAAAAGAAAACAGAACGAACGAAAATATCGCGTCGAAATTTTTTGTGATTATATTTTCGATCATTCCGTAAATTTCTCAGAAACTTCTAAAAAACTGTGTGTATCTTTTTTAAAGAAAACTGATTAAAAATAAAACATGAGTAGAGATGTGCAACGTTGCAATCAGAGATAAAAACACTTTACTCCGCGTGCAGGCGTCGATATTTGATTTCATTCATGGCAGGCGTAACAAGATTACTATTTGACCATGGGTGTAGGCATATTGCCACTAGTCGAATGGGAGACGCATCACGTCACACTGCGAAGATGACTCCACCACGTTCCCTTCCCTAGCTTGCGCGACTCTGAAGCCACCGTTAAACTAGGATTACGTGCAGAGTTGCTAAAAGAAATTTCTTTTTACCCATGAAATTTCTTGAAATTTCCTCATGAAATTTCTTGAAATATCCTCATGAAATTTCTTGAAATTTCCTCATGAAATTTCTTGAAATTTCCTCATGAAATTTCTTGAAATTTCCTCATGAAATTTCTTGAAATTTCCTCGTGAAATTTCTTGAAATTTCCTCATGAAATGTCTTCCTCATGTCTTATAATCTTTCACGAAATTTCATAACTCTGATTACGTGTCGTTATTCTTGACTCTCGGCTCCAGTTTTTACCATATTCATAGGGAAAATATGCATCCTCATTATAACAATTCAGAAACTCTAATGATTTTTAATTTTTTTTTTATTCGCTCCTTTCGTTTATACTACATCTGTTTCAACTACGAATGTAAACAACCCACTTTACTATCAATACATAATATCTCACAGTCTAATCACCACTCATATCTCACTCTGGCCTTCAATTCAATCAAATCTGTTTACACTCTTTTCTTGTATTCCATCATAAACACCTGGAACACCAATGCCAAGTTTTTATCAAATTTTACATTATTTTTTGTCGCTTTTCCGCACAACATGTCTAACTCCAATTAAGTCTAAAATTTGTATAGTTATCCGTTGCAAGGTTTCCTCTCCTACCTCTCTTTTTCAGTCAAATCTTTTTCATAATTTTTTTAGTTACACCCGCTTTTTCCTTTTTTATTGACACCCCCATTTTTGCCCTTCAGGCCCAATTTTCTTTCTTTTTCTTTACTCTCACTTTTTTTTTATTATTTTTGAATTGCGAGGTCGCAATTTTCACTTGCCGAGGCATGTCAACACTTTTCAATATGTTTCTAACATCCATTTTTCATTTCATGAAAGTCCATTTTTCGATCTCAATTCTTCTTTACATCCTATCATTCAGTTCATCTCCAATACTCTTTATTACTAGACTTGCAACTGATAGCTACATAGATTATAGCCAGCCAATCACGCATAGACTTGTTGTCTTGCCACCTGTGACATCAGAAAGTCTACACAAGCATTGCTGCGCCTAAATCAAGGTCCTTTACTATCCTAGACCCGTGAGTAAACATGTAACGTCTTTTCAGCCCTTCAGGCGTATTTTCATCAAGTGTCAACCAGTGAAAGGGCATCATAGTGTGAAAATTTGACGAACTTCTCATTCACTCTTACTCAATAATTTCTACGACATTTCTGTTAAATTTCGGATTGATACAGTGATAAACTGTATTTCAAATCTCACCTCTTTAATTCTTGCTCCATTTCTCGTAGTTTGTTGATCCTACGTTAACAAAGATCAACTGGTGCCGAATGGTTTTATTTTAACTAATTCTTAATCCTTACAAACTCTTCCTGCAAGGAATTTTTTTATCAAACTAGTCTTCCTTGTGGAAAAAATTCTGTATGTGCTCATGTTGGAATATAAATTATAATAATACTTGATTAGCTCATTAAAAAATGTTGTATTTTTAAGATTTTTCAATGAATTATAAAAGAATATTTAAAACTTGACAAATGAGGGAGCCCAAAAAGGTATCTTCGATGATTCAAGCATTTTCTGGGAACAACTCTGAGGAGACAAAAGTATCACAGCAACTATACAAATTAAAGGTGCGATTTTGTTTTAAAAAAATTAGCTATCTAAGAATTTTGAGTGATGTTTAAAATGGTCTTCGATAAACGTTGCAATGAAAAAGTAGCTGTGATCATAACCAGCTTGTTGCTTATAAATTACAGAAACGAGGGAATCCTTGCTTGCATTCACAAAGTTCAGTGGAAGTAACTGTCCATCTTTCAGAAAATTATCAGCAGCTCCCTGAAAAACCAATAAATACAATACATATTAAAGAACAAGAAACAGTAATAGCGAGTTAAAATTTCTAGATGCTTAAAAACAAGAAGAATTGGAAGGTAGTAAGTAAGTACGTTAAAAAATAGATAGAAATTAAATTAAAAGTATTCAGAAAATCCCCTCCAGCCAAGGACATACCTTTGGGTAATCCCCGCATGTCTCGCAAAGCAACTACATAGATAGCTAACTTGTTCATAACTTGTTATTTAGTTTTAATATATCTATTATTGTATATTTTTGTGGTAATTTTCATTATGTTGATCTATTTCTCATTATTTCTATTATTTTTTTTCTTTCATCTTGTTTCCTCTCTTAATTGTTAGACTGTATTAACAGTTCTTCTCCATAGGATCTGTTCAGGGGTGTAAATTGTTCTAGACCGCACAACCTGATTGCAGAGTTTCCCTTCAAATTGTGGAGGCTAATTTTTTTATTTTAGGTTCTCCAGTTTTCAAAAAGTGGCAGAAGATTGTGGAGGCTTAGATCAATTTGCACCCCTGGATCTGTTCATCCTACTGTCCATCTTGTATGAATGATTAATAAATCCCTTTCTTCGGATAAAAAGAAGTTAAAATTTTTGGTTGAAATTTCAGATTGAGATAGTATGAATAAAAAAATTCATGATGCTTGATGGATTCTCCCCTCCTTTTCTATTGGATGTGGATTGAGGATAAAATAATCTTACAACACCTCCTGTCCCTACCACCACCATTAATCTGAGCGTAGACTTCACAAAGTAGCTTTCACACTGTAGGGAAGATAGTAGAGCGGGTCACTGAAATATATTGTCTCTGACTCCATACAAGGAGCCAAAGAACTATCTATATTTCCCTCACAATAAAATCCAAATCAATCTTCCAAATTTCTCCATGCCAGGGTAGAGTTTGGACTTCGATCGATTAGTGTATGAGCAAACTCATTTTTAGCAACCATCCTATGTATGGAACAATACCCTTCCCTAAAAAAACTTCCTTGCATCAAGTACTCAAGGTCCAGTTACCTGATCAATGAGGATTTGAAGAGGAGGTCCATTGTATTTCTTAACGAGTTCTGTGGCATCATACTCTGCCCAGTTAGGGTGCGGAGTTTTAGGATCACCACCCAAATACCTGGGTAATGCCTTATCACGTCCCCATGGGCATGAGGATGGATTGCAGATGGGGGCAAAGGCACTCACGGTTCGGTACTTTCCAGGGTTTTTCAACGCACAAATCAAGGCACCATGACCTCCCATGCTGGAAAAATAACAATTAAAAGGAAATTATACTTAAATCAGATCATAAAAATTTATATTGACCCAGGAATATCTGGAAGAGAGTCTGTGAGTTATTAATCACGTAAATAACATCGATAGCCAAAGTTCTAAATCACGTACCTCCATTTGTGATGTTGCAGATTTCCTGTGATACTTACTTTTCTTTGGAAAGCTAGTCAAAGTAATCTCCAGAAACTTCCTTTTCCCTTCTCTTTTCACTGAATATTCTGCACAAAGTTCAAGCTTTAAAGTTGGCTTGTTTCTCTTCGGAAAAGTAATGGAGGAGCAGTAATTTTGAAACGCCATAAGCACTGGCGTAACGGACTTCCGCTGGGCCCCCCCGCAAAATTTTTCTAGGGGCCCCCCATGTCGATATAATTCCAAAATTATCCCCCCTCTCCCTCCCTCACCCCTTCCCGTTTTTTCTTTTATGGTCTAGGCCCGCAGCACGAAAATTTTTGAGAAAATCAGCCTTAACCACCAAAAAATCAAAATAACAGTATAGCTTATATCTTTTTACCTTTAGGTACGTATTGTATGTGAAGGATTTAGCCTACTTTTACATTATGTTCTGAGGTGGAATTTGATTCACTTGCATGTTTGCGCAAATAAATAAATTAAAAAAAAAAATAAAAACGTAAAAGTACCCGATTAAATGGAGCTCCTAAAGGATCAAGGATCTAAAGGAAGTCGGAGGCTCAGCCCAGGCCCAAAAATCAAAGGGCCCCCAAAGCTTTTAGATTCTTGGGCCTCCCAAAATCCGAAATACGAAAAGTGACAAAAGAAGAGAAAATTATTTAGGAATCATTGAGTGGACATGGGAAGGCAGGGGCCCTCCAGCAAACAAAAAGTTAGGAACAGCCCAAGAGAAGTATGAAAAATCCCGAGCTATAACAATAAAAATCAGAGGAAGAAGCCCCATCTCGGCAAGTAAAGGCCTAAAGTTTGAAACCACAGCTGAGCATCAAAGAGAGAGAGAGAAAAAATTCGGGCGGCCGAGGGCCCCCTAGCCGCCTGGGCCCCCCTGCATAGCAGGGTCTGCGGGGGCGCCCGTTACGCCACTGGCCATAAGTGTGTGGTATAACACTTTGGCTATCAATGTATGAATTTTCGAGCATACCAACAACAATTTGGATTGTGGCTATCAAGTTATTTTACGTGGAGTTTAGAGATAACCATCCAAATTTTTCATTTCTCTGTGATGCTCGAGACTTTTCAAAACGATTTTTAACTTTTTCTTCTGTGAATTTAGCTTCTTACAGAATTGCAAAAACAACTAGAACCATTTCACTTCACTTGATATGAGCCATTTTTTACATTAATACAGCTGTCACTTCATAATTCTTTTCAGCTTCAGAAACCTGATTACTTAATATTGTAAGAGCCCTCATGTAAGTTTGGAGGCAGATGAGGGGAGTTCAATCCTGTTTTTTTTTCTTTTTTTCTTCTCATTCTAGACCGTAAACTTGAGAAAAAACCTACCTGTGACCCATGATGCTTTGTCTCTCAACATTAACTGGAAAGTGTTTTTCAATTACTTCAGGTAATTCAGACGTCACATATGAATACATTCGATAGTGTTCGCTCCATGGTTTTTGAGTGGCATCCACATAAAATCCAGCACCTGTTCCAAAGTCCCAACTTTCATCTTCACCAGGAATATGACAATTTCCTGAGAGGAACAGCGAAAAAATGAGGACAAGATTAGAGGATAAAAAAAAATCGGAAAAAAGAAGAATCATTGAAAAACTTCTAGATTTATAAGCAGCAACAGAAGACAACATCTGAAAAAATGAAACATTGGCCAGGATAGCTGTGGACAAAAATTTAGCCTAGAATTTTAGAATTTTACAGGTTTTCGCAATTGATTTTAAGAAAATTCCCGACTTTAGAAACTCATATTATTATTATTCTCCTTCTACAAGTGACCATGGCATATCTTTGTTAATCAGGTCATCTAGTACCAAGCACATACAACCATCAATAAATATAAAAAACTTATTAAGTAGGACAAAACCAGTAATGAAATATTCGATAATCTTCAAGAAAGGGGTGCCAGCTTTGTACCATCTCTAGGGCGGTCATCTAAATAAACTATTCTGGATGATACAAGTTAGAGTTTCCCAATCTAGCTAAGAGAAAAGCTGATGCTTTGTGCTGCAACTTTAAAGAAACACTTCTGCAAATAAATTGATAATTTCAAAAAGAAGATACCTCTACTTCATTAAATTTAATAGGAAAGCAAAAAAAACTTAGAATGTGAAGGGTTTGTGAAATTTCTTGACTGAAGATTTTATAAAACTGGCCAGTCATGTGGACCAAGAGTTTCTGCACGATAAAATAACCAGAAAAAAAATAAATAAATAAAAAAAATAACTTCCAGTGGGTTTGATAGAACATTAAAAACTGGCTTATCTGCACTATCTGTAAGAGGGGAAATTAATGCCTGGTGAATTACGATAAAATCTGGGCTTTTAAAAAATTGGCCAGCATGTGAATACCACCGATAAAGGTAGCATTCCAATTTTTTAGAATACTGTGATTTCATGACAGTTCTTTACTGTTGTATCGGTACGGTGGGCCTGCAATCGCTCTGTGGGAGGGAAATCATTTTAAATAAATAAGTAAGATAATATGCGAAGCTCACTTGGACTTGTGTCAGGACAGACAATTATATACCCATACTCAGCTGCTAAGCGTTGGGCACCAGCTTTTTGAATGAAGTTTTGTTCATTGCATGTCAAACCAGAGAGCCAATAGATGACCGGAACTTTTGAATCTTCACACTGAGGAGGAAGGTAGACAGCAAATTTCATTGAGCATTTCAATTCTCGGCTAGAATCAACAAAAATAAAAAAAAAAATTATAGAACTGAGGAAGAAAAGAGGGTCATTTAAAATTTTTAAAATGCTTTGTGGGTATTTTGAGGAACCTCTGAAAGGGCCATCAATCAACTTTTTCTGACAAAACTGAAAATATGTTTTGTACTTAATTTTGACGCACCTTGGCAAATTTACCAACTCTCTTGGTAAAACGACTCTTTCTGTTCATATGGAAAAAGGTCTATTGAAAGGAACGTGGGAAAATTTTTTATTCCGACAGTTCAACATGTTAGGAGACCTTTAGATTTGGTACTTAAGATTTAACTTGGGACATTATCGGTGCAATGCACTATAGGTTCTAAATTTGAAGAGGCATGCAGTTTCTCTGAAAAAAAGAGCCGATTCACTTGCTTGCCTTTCCCAAGCTCCCTTGCGCCAATTTGGCCCACAGCAAACAAACTCAGATGTTTTAGGACAGCAGTTGCAAGCCCATACCAGGGCCCTTGGACCCAGCATTAAAGGTCTACTATAAACAGCTCACATTGTTCTTCAGACAGTTGTTGGTCCAATTCTGGTGACCGCAAGACTGCTAGAGGTATCGTCACATAAGTTGGCATTAGTTTACATTTCGTTTTCAAGCAACCACAATGCAGTCGTCCAATAGCAACCGAGGATTGATCGCAACCCAATCGCGAGCATAGTCAATCTTTGATCGCCAGTAGACAATTGCACTGAGGTTCCTTGTGAACAGGATAAAAACAAATGCCACTTAATGTAATGACACCTCTAGTAAAAGAGACGAATCAAAATTAAGAAGAGGGGGAGAAAATCTTATTGCAGTATTCATAAGTTTTTGGCTTTCAATCCATACTTTTGGCTAAGGATATGCTTGAGAGCTCACCTACCTGTCATGAGTATAAATTTTTTGGTAGCCACCGAAACACCTGACGCTTGACTCCTCAGCAGGGGCAGACATCTGAGGACAAATTAAAACAAATAAGTACTTCCAAAGCTAAACTGAAGACTATAGATCTTCTGTCGATTTCAAAAACAGTATGAGTTTGTAAATAAGGCATGGACTCTAAATACTGAGCTGTTCCATATCAACGGTGAAACTACCAGACCCTGAATCTCAGTTTGCACCTAAGTATTTGCAGACTTCCTGTCTCAAGTACTGTATTTTTTCAATAGGAAACTACTCAATGTCAATTCCTAGAAACTTCCATGGTTTTTCTTCACTGTGCAAGAAAACTCTGTGAAAACTGCAAGGAATAATATTGATTGTTTTTTCAAAAAAAATAAAATGGGAGCAGAGATTTTCAAACACCGCATACGGGATACATGGTCAGGCAATGGTCAGGTAGTTTCATCGTCGATATGTATGAACATGCATAGCCTATGATTGATTAGAATTACTTACGGTCTCAAGAGCTCAAGGCTTCAAGCTCAGTTTAGCATAATAAAAAGGCCTAGCACGACATTATTAGGAAGAAGTTTTCGTGATATATTTGAGTGAAATGGTTTCCTGTCATATCTAGCATGAATTTTACTTACTTCAGAGAGAGAATTTGGAGAGACACTTGGATAAAGAAATGGATATGCTGAAAAATTCTGAAAGTTAACTACAATCAGTTTGACGCTAACACAAAAAATCCATTGAGATTGCGGTGGAGAATAAAATAAGTGAAACTATTAAACGAGATATTATCTTATCACTACACTACAGACTGGTCTGTAAACATCTTGTTGGAGAGGGAGAGAGAGGAGGGAGCCGGTACATTGGTACATTCTCCCTCTCTTTTTATCGTGGTTTCGTTTCCGGTTCCCTTCGTTTCATTCCATCTTCGGCTGATACCGAACCGGAAACGCAGAAAATCGGCGGGAAAAATAAATATTTGACCGAAAAAGACCGGCATGCTCAAAAATGTATGATTTCGACCGCGACTCAAAATACAGCGACTTTAATTGTGTATATGTGATATTGTGGCAGTAATGTTAGATCGTCGTTAAATAAAATTAACTAACTAACAATCATAAATAAATGGGAACACGACGTGCTGGCATGGAACAAGAAAATAAATAGGTATTATTTATTCTCCTGGTCCATGGTGCTGGAATTTCAGGCTACATTTCTCACTTGCTTCCTAAAAATCATCATTGTTTAAGAACACCTTCATAAAAATGTATGTAGAGTATTTACATTGAAATTTTCCAACATAAATATGAAGATTGTCGGAAAAGCCGCATTTTGAAGGTGGGCTTCACTATATGCTCTGGAATAGAAAAATTTGAAAAATTGCACCTCCCCAAATAAATACATTTTAACAATCGGTAACCCCCCTCCCCCCATAACCAGCTACTGTGTACCCCATCTTCTCCACAAGTTTGCAAATACAAGGTATGTGATTGATGGGTAGCCATTTTCACTGATGGCTGCGTAAGTATGAGGCAATATTAAAAAATGACATGACAATCATTACGAAATTATTGTTGTAATGAGAGGTCAATTCCACTGACGTTGAGTCTTATATGAGGAATAAAACTTCAAACATTTTTTTCTCGATTCAAACTTAATATGTTCCCGTTTTACTTGATCTCATTGATAATGCAGAACTCTTAATCGTTTACGTACTTCCAAAATTGTACACACTATGCTTAAAATTACCTTGAAATTTAAGTGGACAAATTCATCCAAAGTCAATGCTCGCAATGTACTTAACTGCATGGGCCGGATTTTCTTACTTGCCGCCTATGGGCCGCCTGTATTTTGCCGCCCCCTTCTCATTAGTTTTGAAACATCAATAAAAACCATCAAGTGAACGTGCTAGCGGGGGAGGGGTGCATAAGACGCGTTTACTCGTGTTGAACACATTTTTTAGGAAAGCCCTGTCAACACTAGGTACTAGCAAAAGTTCACGGAACTTAGCGCGAAAGTTAAGTTTCGTACCTAAACCTATCTCTAATGGACAAGGCCTCCCATTCATCAGAAATGAACGAACAAATTATGAAAGAACAAACAAAAAATTTGGTTTAATGATTTTAGCTTCCGCCGCCGCGCCGACCGCACCGTGATTGGCGCAATGCGTGAAGTATTCACGCAGTCTTGTAGGCGCTATGCGTTTCACGCTGACCGCGCCGTACTATGTTTGATGGCGCAATGCGTGAAGTATTCATGCATTCTTGTAGGCGCTCATATTGTGTTACATGCCGATTGCCACGCCGAGGGCTTCTCCTTTTCATCTCAAGTCCTCGTCATCATTTCTCCCTACGAGGGGGGACCCAAAAAAAACCGGAATTTTGCTGTAACTTGGCAAGAATGGAAAACATTCGGGCTCCATCGCCAGGAGGTGTAACTAGGAGCTATGAAGAGTCACTAGGCCAAATTTCAACATCGTAGCACATTTTCTTTCCATGTTGGTAAGACTTGGCTTCAGGGGTGTTTGGCGGCTTCGTAGTTTTTGAAGATAGGTGATTTTCATAGGCTATGTGCGGCTAAACTCCGTAAATTTTTGGAGTGAATGTTGCAGGGAGCATGATTTACCTATAACATAAGTGAACAAATGTTTTTCTTCGATTTAAAGTGTGATTTATTATTGTTCCAACATAGGCTGAACGTCAGGCGGCCGTCACCGGCTAGAGCGCAAAATAGGGGCTCAATTCGGCAACAATGTGTTTTATGCCAAAATTTTTCACAGCGATGTTCTGAATATTTCTGTATTACATCCAAGTGATATCTGCTAGTAGACGAAACAATATTTAACCATGTTCATTCATAAAAACGTGATTTATTACATGTTTTCATCGGTTCTAGCCGATAGCGATAGCGGTCTAGAGCCGTACAGGGGTTTCGGGCGATACAGACCATTTTGAAACTGAAAAACCGTACTTACACTGAACTTTTTGACAAAGCTTGTCCTTCAGAAGCAGCACTTCAAAAGGTTAACAGAGAAAGCCGTATTTTTATCGAGCAAGAGAGAAAAATTTGAGCTCTAAGTGTTGTCACTGAAATTGACCCATCTTAAAAAACTACGAGGTCGCCAAACACCCTTGAAGCCAAGTCTCGCCAAAATGAAAAGAAAATGTGCTACGATGTTGAAATTTGGCCTAGTGACTCTTCATAGCTCCTAGTTAGACCTCCTAGCGGTGGAACCCGAATATTTTCCATTGCTGCCAAGTTACAGCAAAATTCCGGTTTTTTTTGGGTCCCCCCTCGTAAGTCGCGCCGTTCCAGACCAAATTGTGTGTTTGGTTTCTCTCTTAACTCGACTAATTAAAAGGGCTGTCTCTTGGATCACTGAAAAACGACAAAAGTAGAAATTACCCCAGATAAGACAGAAATATTTAGCCAATATTTAAACAATATTGTTTTGATATTTATGCAAACATTGAGAAAATATTGGTTAAAAATTAAGCCAATGTTAAAAGTGTACACCATATTTCCTTTTGGCATAAATACTAAGCCAATACTTTCAAATACTGTGAAATACCGTGTCAATACTGTGAAAATATTTTTATAATATATTAGGTAAACATATTATTTTTAAAAATACTGAATAAGGATTCTTTAAATATGTTTCAAAAAAATAATTTTGATTAAAATATTACCAAAATATTGTCAGTATTGTGTAAATATTGCGAAAATACTGACAATATTTGCCCAATATTGTAAAAATATTATGTCTAATCTCGGTATACTCTCAGGAAATGAGAGATTTTGTAGCCTTTTCTCGTTTGTAATTTTTTTTTCTAAATCCGATTTTTTTTTTACCTACATTTAAAAAAATTGCAAAATTTGCTGCCCCCTAGATTTGCCGGCATGGGCCGCGGCCCATGTGGCCACCCCCTTAATCTGGCCCTGAAGTGCATGTTACTTTGCCCAATTTTTTCTCTCGTTTTATTGAATAAAAATGAAAATATTTTTACTGATATTTTAAAGAAAATAAGAATCTTTGAGTCGAAAGATCAATATTAGTCAGAATGATGTTAGGTGTTCTGTTTAATAAAAAGAACACAAGACAAGATTCAGCACTGTCTCATCTAGTTACATCCATTCTGATCGAATCAATCCTTTTTTTAAAAAACTAAATTATCCTGCTTTGTACCTTTCCATTATGTAAAAGCAACCACTTGGCTTAATCAAGATACTTCCAACAGTTGAATATGCTTTCGTCGTCTTTACATATGTATACTTTTCTATTATGAGTCTTGGATAGGTATATATATTCTTAAGCTAGTGAAGGTAATCAAATCAGCACTAACTTTTTGAAAAATTCAAAAGCAGATGCAGCATTTGAGCTGATGAATGGATAATCGCGCATTTCCAAGATATAAGTTTGATTAAAAACAGCTAGAGCCACTCTTGTTAATTTGAGGCCCTTAAGTTTAGACAACTTGATACATAATACAAAGGCAATTAACTAGTTTACATGATAAAATCTCAGTGTAGCAATAGTGATGCATTGGTTCAAAAAAATACATTTTGATGGCCACAGCGAGTGAGACCTTGTATCTCCGTTTGCGATGTTGCAGATTTCCTGTCATACCTAAGTTATTTTTTCTCAGGAAAACTACATAGTCTACATAATTTCTTGAAAACTTTCTTAATTTTTCTTTTCTGTTAAAAGCATATTCTGTAGAAATGTCGATCTATAAAGCTGGTTTGTTTCTCTCAGAGAAAATAAAATAGAGGGGGAAATTTTGGAACATAGCAATGAAGATACGCGTTTTTTGCTTTTCAGCTATCGTTTTGATGAATCAGCTTTGTTATTCAAGCCCCAACAACATCAAAATCTTGCTGTCAATTCCGAATAAAATCCGCAGTCTCTTCATTTTCGAATAGGAAAGCGTCCACTGTATCAGAGATATTTTCTGCATAGTAAAATTGCATTAAAGAAACCAAAAGAGTCATTTTCTAAAAAATATTTATTAAAAATATAATTATGTACATATTTACAGAAATATACAAAACGTCCATGCCATTTACAATGTCAGAGAATTGCGCATTCACAGCATTGGAGTGTAAAGTAGAGACAGTCCATTCCACAGCTATCTTCTTTTGCATCAGCGCTGGAAGTTTGTTTTTCAGCAGCATATTGATTCAGTGCAGAAAGTTCATGGAATGCTGATCCATCATTGTTATCGTTGTCTCGATTGTTCAGAGAGTCCGCGTTGAGAATCTCTGGACACCCACACTCTGCATCAAAAGTTGTAATTTTATCTTCTATGGGTGAATCTTCGGAATGATGAATGGCAAGATCACTCTCAAGATACGGATTCTGGAACAAAAAATCATCATGGATAGAGCTTTAATCATTTTATTTTGGGTCAAAGAACTGATTAACTTAAAACTTTGAAAGTTATCTGATCAAATAAGCGTAATTCTTCCACACTTAAGATGTTAAAAATTAAAGTTTTATCTGATCTGATCTAAAAATGTGTAACAATTTCCCGAAAATTCGTGATTTCTTTGAGGTGATTTGGCAACGTCCGAAGGCTTATACGGCATTTTTCTTTAGCACAGCAGTATATACATGTATATCTAAAAACTCTGGGTGAAAATGAGGATCCTCGAGCCCTTATTGGTCTTAAAAAATGAATGTGCTGGGCAGTTGGAGTGAGAACTTTTTCCCCCGCATGAACATTTGGAATGGTGCCAAATTTTCTCTCAAAAAATATTTATTCGTTACGAGACTCGTGAAAATTTTTCCTAACTATTTTCAGACACTCTACATCTCTCCATCAAATTGCGAGGAAAATTCTCTGACAAATTTCCCCGAAAAAATGTTACATTTGACAGTCTCCAAGATTCGATGATTTGAGATCTCCAAGATGTTGAGACTCCTGTGTCACGCCGGGTCACTTTTTCGATACATAATCGATTGTTTGCGATATACGAGGACCCCACCATCCAACGTAAACAAAAAGGATACGAATCACCACGTATTCTACATCGCCATTTTGGATCGAAAATTATCGAAAAAGTGACCGAAGCTCGATGCACACCGGGCTCGAAACTTGTCGTCTAGGACATGGTCCCAGCTCTCCTATTCACGTTACGATTCCATGTTCTCTATGTCTGGTCCAGCGGACTGATTATTGAAATTGATAGACAAAGCTACAAACAAAGAAGACATAGGGAGTATGGAGCGATCCTATTGGTTGAAATGGGTGGTTCCTATAGACAAAGGGAGAAAATGATAGACTAACTGTCGGATCTCTCGTGGGTTGCCGTTAGTTAGTCTATTACCTACCTCCTTTGTTTATTGTAACCACCCGCTTCCACCAATAGAATCTCTCCCTTATCTCTTTTGTCTACTTTGTCTATAATTTCAATAATCGGCCCGCAGGGTGTCTACTAAAACAGACAGGCCAAAAATCAGTACTTTTACAGTACTTCTTCAGTACATTCCCGAGAAATTCAGTACCTCCTCAACGGAAAAATTCACCACTTTTTCAGTACCTCCATTTGACGAAATTTGACAAAACATTTTGAATTTTTCTCCCAAACAGCGACAAAAATGAAAAATTCTGGACCTTCTAGCGGAATTTCCGCACTTTATCAGTACTTCCGGACCGCCGTGAAAAAATCAGCGCTATTTCCGGACTATCCGGACTTGTACTGCGGTGCTGAGGAAGAACGCCGTATGAACATTCGAGAGTTGCCAAATTTTCCCGAATAAAACATGTATTTTCGAAGAAAATTATGCATAGTTCTCCTTGAAATTTTCAGACTTTTTAGATAAAATTGCGAACAAAATCCTCGTACAAATTGAAGAAAAAATAAGCTGAAGTTTTCCTGAAAACTCGGGATTTGTCGAAGGAAATTTGGCAACGTCTGAGGGCTCATACGGCGTTCCTCCTTAGCACGGCAGTGTAGATACCCTGCTAGTCTTAAAGCAAGGTACACTCTACTACAGGTATGGACGAACGGGGTGCCGAAGTGGCAGCGCTGAGATTATAGGCCATCGAGTGACGTCGTAAGTCGTACCGTCTTTGCCGCGCAGTTCAAAACGAGGTTCTGGTAGATCCGTTAGCTTCGATAAGCCATCAGATGAATTTAAAAAATTGATAGAACTCAAAATAACGAAACCCTCGACTAAAAACACGAAAAAATAACACGAAATTGACGAGACCCACTCTTAAAACAAAAAGTAAATGAGTTTTCAATATGGCGTCGCAGTCGTACCATTGGACGCTGCCAAATCTACGCGTTTCGACGACTTTCTAAAATTCCATTTGTCCATACCTGTAGTAGAGTGTACCTTGGTGTTACAAAGCGAATTTTCGCGATCGGATATCATTCACCGTTGAATGATATTCAACGATTGTGCATTTTTTTTCCAATGATATTCGACTTCTTCGTTGGTCTCGCCAGAGACCGTTGAAATCCATCAATTTGAAAATTCGAATTCATCTCGGGACTTGAATTCGATTTTTGAATTGATGCAATCGATGTCAGAAACCTCATCTCTCACCAAAATTTTTGTTCTGTCATCTCTTTCTGTTGTTGTGTTTAGTCACTTCAAGTCTGGTGTTTTCGCAATTTCTGTGTTTTAGTGTTTCGTGTTTTCTTATTTTCTTCTGAATTTCATTTAGGGAAAAAATCCGAGCTCTGATTGGCTCCTGACATCACCGATCATCGGCATCACTCAGCACTGATCAATTCGTTTGATGAATGACATTCGATCGCGAAAATTCGCTTGAAGAGAGAACTTACGGTGTTGGGGCCGCCCTCTGGAGGGCTAGGCGTCGAGGGGTGAATATCATCCCTCGGAGGCTCGGACTCGGCGCGGGGCTGCTCGACGATGACCGGGGCCTCGGGCGTGCTCTGCGTGCTGCGTCCGTTGAGGGGCAGCGTGGCCGACGAGTAGTCCGAGTAGGTGTAGGTCTCGACATCGGCGAGTCGGCTCGTCCGCGAGTCCCGCTCCTGCTCTTGGCTCGAGAAGAACCCGCCGCCGCCGTAGCTGTTGCTGTTGGAGTTGGCCGTGGCGTTGGAGTCGCCGCCGTAGTTGCCGCCGTAGTTGTCGTTGTTGTAGTTGCCGCCGTAGTTGCCTCCGTAGTCGTCGGCGTCGCCGCCGCCCTCGAACATGGCGCTGCTGGCGTTCTTGACGAAGAACACGCTCGGCTGCTCGCTCAGTTTGTACGGGAACGGCTCGTCCACGCTCGTCTTGCTACCCCCATTCTGGTACTTGCTCAACACGCCGCCGCTGCAACAGAGGATACGAATGGAAATTTAGAGGGATTCGTCAATAAATGTGACGATTACAAAGGCGTAACAGGGAATCTTTGCGCCCCCGTCTCACAACGGATCGAGTCAATGGGGGAAGGTCGGACTTTGGAAGCTTGAAAAGCTTCACAGAAAAAGAAGTGTCAGGGATAATCCCCTAAAATTGAATCAGTGAGAACGAAAACACACCAACTCGGTAACTCGAAAATGCTCAATTATCATTTGAGATGGTTAATTTTCATGGGAGTCATTGGAGTTAGTGCATCTGCTCCAACCTGGACCTTTAAAGTGTCCTGAAATACTTGCCTTTCGGCACCGAAAATCTTTTTCTTAGACTAACTTCTTCACCTTCAGTGCAGTTTTGCGTGTGTCTTAATTATTTTCATTTTTCCGAGCTGGTGTGTTTTCGTTCTCACTGATTCAATTGTGGTACTACCCCAATTTGTTGGATGATATGGACATTTCTACTAAAATGTGGTAGTACCGCAACTCAAGTTAGGGTGGTACCGCAACATTTGGGTTGCTACCTAATTTATTGGGGTACCATACCATAATTGATTGGGGTGCTGCCATAATTAATTGGGGTACTACCACAATTAATTGGAAATGTCCATATTATCCGACAACCTCGAGCTTTTTTTTCCGTGCATGACTCCGTTCATACAAAACTTGGAGGTTTTAAAAGTATGAGTTCAATGGTTTCCTCGTGAAATTTCCTTCTAATGGCACCCCTTAAAATTTAAAATGTGACAAATTTAACATAAAAATTTGCAGTTTCAGTCAAAAATTTGTCCGACCTTTCTGACTGACTCGATCCACTGTGCGCCTACCACAGTGCCATGCCAGTGATAGCAATAAGTTGCGATTTGAACGGAGAATGTATCGCAATCAAAACGAGATCGATTTATTACAATGTAGTCCAGGGCCGGATTTAGGGGGTAGCCACATGGGCCGCGGCCCATGGCGGCAAAAGGAGGCGGCAAATTTTGCAATTTTGTAAATGTAGGTGTAAAGAAAAATCGGATTCAGAAAAAAAATTACGAAAGAGAAAAGGTGACAAAATATCTCATTTTCTGAGAGTATATCTCTAATTTTGTCGTCTTTCTGTGGTGGAATAGACAGCACCTTTAATTAGTCGAGTTAAGACTAAGAGAGAAACCGAACACGGAATTTGGCCTGGAACGGCACGGCGCAGATCCATGCCGATGATGACGAGAACTTGAGATGAAAAGGAGAAACCTTCGGCACGGCGCGGCAGTCGGCATGTAACACATATTAGCGCCTACAAGACTGCATGGATACTTCACGCATTGCGTCAAAAGACAGTGTGATCGCTGCGGTTAGCAGCGGGCGGCGTGAGACGCATAGCGCCTACAAGACTGCATGAATACTTCACGCATTGCGTCCAAACACAGTGTATACAGCAGCAGTCGGCATGAAACGCATAGCGCATACAAGACTGTAGGAATACACAATGCGGTCAGTGCGGCGCGGCGGCGGAAGTTAAAATTATTAAACCACATTTATGTTCGTTCTTTCATAATTTTCTCGTGCATTCCATAGAAATGGAAGGTCTTGTCTACATAGAGATAGGTTTACGGAACTTAACTTTCGCGCCAAGTTCCGTGAACTTAATCTGGTAGTGTTGACAGGGCTCTTGCAAAAACTGTGTCCAACACGAGTTAACGCGTTATGCGCCCCTCCCCCTCCAGCACGTTCACTTGATGGTTTTTATTGATGTTTCAAAACGAATGAGAAAGGGGGCGGCAAAATACAGACGGCCCATGGGCGGCAAGTAAGTAAATCCGCCCCTGATGTAGTCGGATAAAAATTGCGATAAATTGTGATTTCATCACGACAGGATTGAAGATTATCACTCAGATGTTGATGATTCTAGCGATTTTATCGCCAAAAAATCGTAAAAACATCGCAATTTAATTTTAAAATATCACGATTTTTCTGTTGAAAACTGCTACTTGGGTATCTGAGTCGATTAGCATTCTTCTCTGATCTTTTTTTAATTTTTGCGCCCCTCGCAACGCTTCTCCGCTGATCATCAAAATCGAAAAGTTTCTCAAGAGACTAGCCAAATTTTGTTTAATCATTGTGGTTTTCTTTATACCTCCTGTGAAAGAAAAGGGAAACACAACTTTAGCCTCTTTCAATGCTTAGCCGAGAAGTCTTGCTCATGAGAATTAACTACAAGTGGGATTTCTAAACGAACAACTCAGACGCTTACATGATAAGCAATTTCCTGCTTGCTTCCTACCCACAAATTGATAAACTATTTTTTCTTCCGATATTGTTTTACATACATCTAATCTGCACTGCTTTCCAGAGAAAAATGCAGTCTAAGGTGACTTGTGAGTGTTTTTCTCACTGCGCTGCGACGAAAGAAAATCTCTCTCAGCCTCAAAACGATGCAATCAACAGTGCGCGGGTACTAAATTAAGAACTTTGGGGTAGTTCATTGCCCCTTACGATTTTTACGGACTAACATTTTGATAAGAACCCGCAAACGTGATCTATCTGCAAGATATCGAAACAATGAGCAAAGATTTAAATGCAATTTCCTACCATCAATTTTCATTGGGTTCGTACGTTTTATGTGTGTTTGATAAGGTCGCAGATGATGGGAGGAATTAAAAAAGTATGAACCATACAGCTTTAAACTGAACCTAGCTGAAACCTGAAACCGATTACGTTTCAATTAATGACCACTCATCATGAATTTTTAAGTCTCCAGTAGTAGACACAGGTATCTATTCTTAGGTGCAATTTTTACCAACAGCGCAATTTACCTTCATAAGCTTAACTACAAAAATTTTAGCGTCAACAGTTCGCCACGCCGGTGAAATTCTCAAATCACATGTATATCTCGTTTACGGTGTTTTAAAATCTCCCCTTCTTTTGTATTCTTTGATGTAATATGGAAAAAAATCAACATTATTTCTCAAAGTTCACACAAAATTGACCTCTGCACACAGAGAAGAAAAATTACGGCAGTTCTCAAGAATTATCATCGAGTAGTTCACTATTCAAAAAATAAAATATAAAATATAAAATGAAGTCTGCAACGTCGCAAACCGAGGTAAGTGGGTTGGGAGTTTTACAGTCGATATATGTTACGTACATGTACAGAGTGAATGCGCGTCTTGTGAGCAGAAAATAAAATGAATAAAATAAGTACGAAAATAAAAAGACGCTTCCAATAAGTATCTCGGCGGACAAATGTAAGAATTGGGGGTTAGTGACAACGCCTGGGTGAAACTATTTCGCACTCGATAGGTCTGTACTCTGTAATCGTTATGCAACGGTGAAAGCGCATTGACTTTCCATCCGCCCATGGTAAGGCGCGGGATACAACTATTCGTACTCGATGGATGTCCGCGCTGCATACTCAATTGAGTGAAGGCGCGTTGACTTCCCATCCGCTCACCATAAGGCGCGGGATACAACTATTCGTACTCGATGGATGTCCGCGCTGCATACGCAATCGATTGAAGGCGTGTTGACTTTTTTTCCACTCGAAACGAGGTGCTAAATTTTTACAACGTGCTTTTGGAGCCTTTCTTATACTGGTTTTCTCTCCACCATGGGCACCTTTGGCGCATGTAATCTTATTGCTTGCATTTCCCGGAAATTACCTGGAGAATCAGCCGTGAGAAATATGGCTAAACGACGTGAAAATCGCTTGCTAGCCCAATTATAAGGATGTGAGCCAGTAGTCGCGTGCATCAGTGCATATTTCCCCATTTGAAGCTGTGGTAAAGAATCGATTATCGAGGTTTTTGTTTCGAACGTTTTGTGTATCGATCCTTTTCCATAGGTTTAAATCAAAATTGAATCGATCGATTTTTGAAAAAACTAAAAACATCAGCTTGGGTATTTTATTTCATACTGAAGAATGCGGCAAAGTCGCGACAACTCATTTTCGCTAAAATTGTTAGTTGGGCGGCAATGTTTCATAGCCGTCGATATGCTAAACAGCATTTAAGTGAAGAATGCTTGACGCGCTGAAAATTTCCTTCTTCATAACCGATTTCCCTGGCATTTTCCTGATTTTTGTTGACATCACTTTTCCTGATTATCCAGGTTTTCCGGGATTTACTAACGGTAGATACCCTATCATGCGATTACAAGTGGTACAAAAAGAAAAAGCAAAAGAACTTATTTTCAGCTAACGTAAGGGAAAAAGCTACAACGTGAGGAACCACACGGGGCACTAGTGCTCAAGTCGCACATGCGCGAGGTTCCAATGTCAACGAATTAATGGAGCTAAGTTCAGCTGAGCGAGGACGAGCGTTGTTCCACCACTAATTGATTCCAATGAAATCAGAGATGGGCATCGCTTCTTTCTGAGCCGTAATGCCGTACTAAGGAAGAACGCCGTATGAGCCTTCTGACGTTGCCATATTTTCTTCGATAAAAACCAAATTTACTCGGAAAATTGCGAATTTTATTTTCCAAAATTGCAGAAAATTTTGTACACGATTCAATCTAAAATATATGAAAATTTCAAGGAAAAATATGCACGAATGTTGTAAAAAAAACATGTTTTATCGAGGGAAATTTGGCAACTCTCGAATGGTTATACGGCGTTCTTCCTTAGCTCGGCAGCGTGGCTCATGGTTGTCATAGCCGGGCCCAAGTCAAATACTTTGGTCAAACTCATAATCGGGGAGTCCGAGTCCGTCACCATGTACACAACTTTCCAACGGAGGTATTTTTCTAAATGGGTATTACTTGAAGCTGTGCCCGAGCACGACAGGGGTCACGGAGAAAGAGAGGTCATTTTACGGTCAGATAGTAATTCGGCGAGCAGGGGTCTCTCGATCCAGATCAAATGGACGTATTTATGCCAAAATGAACTAGAGACGGGTGGAAAAGATGTGGTGTGCTCGTTTGAGGTGCATAAGAAACAATGTAAAAGTGGGTGTGCTTAATTTTGGGGAAAATGAAAAAGTGGGATTTTACTTT